ATTTTGTGATAGGCGGTGTGACCACTGAACCCTCTTTGATGCATCAGCTCCAGGTCCATAGCACTTGTATTCACCATAATATGCAGTCCTGTCATGCAAAATAGAAATTGTTACAAAACCAGTAAACATGGATAATTTTAAATTTCAAGACTAGCTGATATGTATATGTACCTTTGCTTTCTTGGGTCTTGCCAGTCATCCCATCCTTGTGGGATTATCACATTGGACATGTAGGTTTGGGCAAAGACTACCCGAGAAAAAGCACCCCACGGCCTTCCAAGGAAAGCAGCACCAATGCCAGTGATCTTGCAACCCAAGAAAATGAAGCCGGTATTCTCTGAAGGTGAATTCCTATGTTGAGCAGTGATAGATCCGCTTTTTGTTGAAAGGGAATGCAAATGGCATCCCTACAAGGAGATTAAAGTCGTATCAACTTGTTAGTCATCCTTGGAAAATTTTGACTGCTAAAATTTTGCCATTTAAATTTGTCTCTTTTAGACAATGTAAAGCACTCACTTCATAAAGGGAGGAAGCATTTCCACATATGAAATCTGTGCCTCCTTCAATGTAGCAATTTTTGAAATAATGCTTTCCGGTATCATCCAGGAGAGTATCTTGATAGGAGAGAATCCTGCATCCATAGAATGCAGCTCTGTCTCCTGATACCCTCATCGCAACAGCCCTGCCACCCGTCCCAAATGTGTTCTACAGCCACAAATTCACTTCATTAAAATTTGAAGGTAAATCAGCGAGCTTAGGGGTAATATCAATTGCAAATTAAGTCCAGTCATCCAAATTGCACATATCCATGTATCTATAAAGGTGGTTATGACAAAAGGTTTCAGTCTAAAGCCAGCAAAAATACACAAAGAATCAATTGATTGTTCGACTGAAATGGAATTAAATTGTGGTGGGAATATACATCAATTTTTATGTTGACTAAAATTTGAATTTGTCTCAGAATTGCATCCTTGACAAACATCCTGAATGGCCTACATCCCTACAAACAAAACCTATTTATTTCAGACTGGTGACCACAGAACATGGGAGGAAGTCCCACACAAAGCTTTAGTATTGTTCAGAGGCGCATCATAGGCTGAATTGTTAGATGAAAAAGAAAGAGAAGAAAGTGATAAGACTAGCAACAGCTCCAGGAATTGTTTATACATACAAGCCACAATATATAGATACCTGAATTGTGAGATATTGTCCAACAAAGTCAGAAGCCAATACAGTGAGCGCTGCAGAATCAAATATCCCCCCGCTCTCATTCCATGTTATTATGGTGTTCGAGGCCCGAGTGCCACTCAATGTTATAAATGGCTTATCAGCAGGCACAACAATCTTTTCCCTGCTCAATGAAAGTTCAAACAAAACAAAGAGTTAAAAAGTCTGAAAAGAAAAAGAAGCAAAAACCATCTTAATTAGGCCATCAATTTGTAGTATTTAGCTCTAAACATAGCATTACACCCACACATTACCTGTATGTCCCTGGCTTAACCAAAATGAAGTAGAGTTCAGAGTTATTAGATGGAACAGCGTCTATTGCATCTTGTATCTTGTTAAAGTCCCCATGGCCAGCCTGATCGACCCTCAAAAGAATGGCGGTAGACATATCTATGGGAGCTTTGGCAGCTGCGTTAACCATAAGAGAAGCAAAAACAACTTCAAATAAAACGATAACAATATTAGCATGGCTATAAATATTCATTCCTGCCATGTGCACATGTGATGACTTCCTTCGTCTCGATGGGTGTGCGGGCCTGGAACTAGATTAAAATTCAATCAACCTCTATGATTTTCTTGTAAAGGAATAATGAAGCAAAGTTACACAATTTTGACTGGTTAATTAATAACAAAGGGGGCCGCATTATATAGTATTCTCAAAGCTAGTTTCTTATGTAATTATGGCAATTATACAGATTATAAGATAAATCATTATAATTATATTAGATCACGATATTATTATATTACGATAAGATTAATTTAATAATATGATAACTATTTGTATATTTAAGCATTTAATTCAATAATAAATGCATATTTTCAATTAAAGAATCTAATGTTAGAATTCTATAAAACCATTCAGCTAAAAATTTTGAACTGTTAAATGGAAAGTTGACATGTTTGACAATATGTGTGTTAGCTTATTACTTTAATTTAATCCCCTACAGGATTGGTATACTTGAACTGGAAAAAAGTCATCGGATAAGCAACTAAGGACAAATTAATTCAACTAGTAGTAATATTTAGGTAAAGGCTCCTGCCCTAAAACCCGGGGGGAAAAAAGGTCTACCATGACAATTATATTTTACTTGGTGGTAATCACAAGTTGGTATACTTGTTTTATTCCTTAAATCTTTTCCTCAAACTAACAAGTAATTATTTGTACACCTAAGTAGTTAATCCTTACATGTTTCTAAATAAAAAAATCAATTTCGAATCTTTCTCATTCCTTAAATAAGTAAAAAAAAAACACACAAAAATTATTATAGAACCAACTAATGGAGTCCAATTAATTTTTGAAAGTTTTGGGCCTCTCTAGATTCTGCTGATTGTGAGCTACAATCTTATCTGAGTCGAATCCAGCTCAGCTTTGAGACCTTATTATATAATCTTATCAAATGGAGTTTGTAATATAATTATGGCAGTTATACAGATTATATATTAATTTAATAGAATTATTATGTGAGATTCTGATATCATTAAATTACGATATGAATAATTTAATAATATCATAATTATTCATATATTCTAATATTTAATTCAATAATAAATGCAGATTTTTATTAAGGAATCAACTTTGAATTTTGTTCACTTCATAAATCAAAAACAAAAAACTATAATGGTTGAACAGAATCGGTCCCTACACCAAAAACTGATTGGGCCAACTAACTGAGCCTAATTAAATTTTGAAAGTTCTGGGCCTCACTTGGATTATCCTGATTGTGGGCTACGCCCTCATCTGAATCGAGCCCGGCTTCGTTTCCACGGCCCAGCTAAAACCCGGAGTACTTTTCATTGCCATTTTCATAATTAGAGTCAAGACACCTACCATAAATAATAGCCAAGTTCTGAAACCCTAACTGCGAACCTGGTTCGGCTTCAGAACCAGATCTCTTCTTCCCTTCATCTGCCAAAATAAAAAACCCTAGCCTTTATCTTTATCATTTTCCATGTTTTCTGCCTTTGTATTTTGCTTATTTTGACGATTTAATGTAGAAAGAGAAGGTGCGATGATGATTATAGAAATTAAATCTCGTTAATCTGATTCGTAACATGAGGATGAACTTTTTCATCCATTCTTAAACATCTTCTGAGCGTCTTCTCTTTCTTTTTCTTTTTTTTTTTTGTTCTTCTGGTTTTTCCCCCTTTCCCTCCTTTGTGAGAAAGAAATCATTTTTATTTGCTATACTTTGTGGGAAACTACAAACATTGTTTTGGCTTCAAAACTTGTGTTGAAATGTCACTGAGGATTCCATTTTGTTAATCTTCTGCAAATTCTGATTTTTCGGTTTCAATGGGGATTAAGTGTTGAAGCATTAAGGAATTATGCGATTCATAAATTATTATTAGAACTGAAACATTGGGGATCGGTTGGAAAGTATGTGAGATAAGTTTTGCAGATTTCCTACATGAATTAGAGGCCAATGGGTTGAGCCAGCCGATCGGACGTGAAAGCTCGAGCCCATTGCTGCAGTAGCTAGGCTTACAGTTGAAGAGAGTAACCAGGACCAGCTGTTTTGCGTCTTGAAGCAAAAGCATTGCGATTTCAAAACTCCAGAAATTTGATCAACGAAATTTTATAAAAATAATTAAACTTAATCCAATATATTTTAAAATTGAGCGTGGTTGAAATTTATTATATTGATAAATTCTATCAGTTTTAATTATTTATAATATTAGTAATACTTTTTCTATATAAAATATATCTAAAAGTTTTTGTTCAATATTCCAATAATATTTTATTGATGAAGTCTCTATGTTTTAAATTTATTTTTTTATATTAAAAAAAATTAATAATATATGTATATAAAAAATATATAATATTAGTGATTGGGTTTTTGATTTGAAATTATAAAATAAATTATCCTTCCTAATTGATTAACACTAAAACAATCAAATTAAATCGAATTAGTCAAATTCTATCCATTTAAATAATTATTTAAAGTTAATAAATATTTGTGCCACAAGAAGAAACACCAGGTTTTTATTATGCATGAAATGTAAAACATAATGACATTGATAGTTAATTTTTAAATTTTAAATAAAATAATATTTGAATATTTGATTTATTAGTTGATGTATAATATTTTATTTAAATATTTAATTTATTAATTAATATATGATCTTTTATTTAAAAAATAAATCGAATTTCTTCTCTAAATTTTTTTTAAAAAAACCTTTGAATATGATGATATTGATTAATAGTTTGGCACGGCCAAATTTTAGCCATTGTAGCCACCACCAATCGTGTAGTAGCGGTCCAGCAATGTAATAAAACAATTACATTATCGGCTATGAATCTACATTTCTAAAATATACATGTAAATATAATGGATGAAAGGAAACTACATTTCCTTGGGAATGGGGAAATTAAAGGTAAATATATTTTGAAAAAAATATATCTTTTATAATTTCAGATAGAGAGAAAGGGGTTAATAAGTTTTTCAAAAATTATAAAATTTTATAATTTTTTTTACTTTTTAAAAAATTTTATAATTTTATCTTTATTTTTGCTTCAAAATTTTATAATTTTATTCTTATAAATATTAAATATTTAATATAATTATTTTAGCAAGCCTGTTTGCTCGAGCCCATTAACGAGACCCGATTTGATTTGCCTAATGGATAGTTAAAACCGCAGAAAATGGGCTGCCCCATGCAACGAGGAATTACTCATGTGAATCCCATGAGTCTATGACTTTTCGAGACGACGACCCAGTTAAAAGTTCAAACACGTAACTTTGTCTGGCGGCGACACCAAAATCCTACTAATCAAAAGGTTTGGTCGCATATATCACCCAATTTCCAACCCATCGGAACCAAAACCAACCTCCGAAAACAAGACATAAACCAAAGCTTAGAACACCAGAACTCAGAAACGAAGTCCTTTTTTCTTTTCTTGCGGAAATCATTTTGGAATCAATCAACTTAATGGATACGGTTTTGGAAGATGAAGAGTACAGTTACAGAGAAGTAAAGTTGCCAACGTTGATCCCAATAGTTCCAGAGCCAGGGTTGGAGAGGGAGTCAGGGGAAAGAAGGAGAGGCAGAGATATAGTAATAGCCGTTGATCATGGTCCCAACAGCAAGCACGCCTTTGATTGGGTGCTTATTCACCTCGTCAGGCTTGCTGATACCATCCATCTTGTTCATGCTGTTTCCAGTAAGCAAAATATTTCGTGGTTATTTATTGGAAAATAATCAACAATGAGATTATTCTATAAGTTGTTTCTCAAAATTATTTTCTGGGTTTTCTTTTAATAGGCGTCAGAAACGAGATTGTTTATGAGATCAGCCAAGGACTTATGGAGAAGTTAGCTGTGGAGGCGTTTGAGATTGCCATGGTTAGTACTTTCTTTTTTCTAATCCTTGTTCTGTTTTATGTTTGCATAAAGAGGTGAAATCCTATGGCAAAATCTTCGAGGTTGTATGCCTTGTCCAGCAAGGGAATATATTTGCCTTCTGTGTGAACATTTTAACATAGCCTCATCTTAGATGCATTCCATTCTCTGTCTATGATTCCAAGAGATGAGTACATCGCTTGTGATCAGCAGATTACTTAATTTTCTAAGGGGAAAAAAAAGGGTAACTAAGTTTATGTAAAGATAAATGTAATCTTTACGTATTTATAGGTTCATAATGTAAAATGTAGGTTGATTAATTCCATTTCTAAAACTTCTTCCTTGTTCTTTGGACACACATTTCTAAAACTTGTAATGTGGCATATATAGGGAAGTTTGAATATAGATCAATAACCATCACCATCCCAATTTTTAAACTATGAATTGGTTTTCTCTTTGCATCTTTAACTTTTAAATTGATATATTTTGATCTCTTATTGTTATTTTTTTATTCGATGTCGGTCCATTTTCAATATGCAAATTTTCTTTGAAGCACTCTGTCAAAGATTAAGGTATTCCATGGTTATAGTTATATATGTTAAGCTTTATGTCTGATAATTTACACTTGGCTCAAGATTTATCATAGTAGTAATTTAGAATTCTGATTTATAATTTGACAACTGAAAGAATACTAATCATTTAAGTGCTAGGATTCAATGCACTGGGATCCTCCTCTTCCTTAATTTATTACTTTCAAATGAATGAGATTCTTAATGTATTTTGCAAACCGAATGGGAGAGCTAATTTTACCTATCATAAGATTTAAGGTTAGCAATGTCCATTGTAGGAAAAATAACATTACAGTGTTTGGTATACAAGTAAAATAATGATTAAAATGCAGAAAAAATAAGATTACAGCGTTTGGTTTACAAGTACTTTAGTGAGAATGTAATGTTAATTTTCAAAATTACCCTTAATTATTAAAATATAAATTTAATATATTTATATTTTATTATTAATTTTTATATAATATCATCTCTTAAATATATTTTTAATGTCATATATTTTATTTTTATTTATTATTATAATCTTATATATTTTATTTTTATTTTTTTAATATAATTTTTATATTATATATTTTATTTTAATTTATTTTACCTATATTATATAAATTTTAATTTTTTATATTTTATTTTATTTTAATTTTTTATTCTTATATTATATATTTTGTTTTAATAATTTTTATTTAATTATAACATTTTAAAATATTTTTAATAAAATAATAAAGTTGAAAGGTAAAAATGTTTTTAAAAATACTGCTGAGTGCAATGTAATATGATTGCATTGATTTTGGACTGTAATCACATTACATCCCTTGGCTGTAATGTGCTTGCATTGCAATCTTACATTGCAGTGGTCTGTTACAAAATAAACACTGTAATATAATTTAATTGGACACATTGCAATGAATGTGCTCTCACTTCTCTTATATCAAACGTCACCAAGTTCAATATTGGAATCAAACCCACTTTATTAGGTCATATATGCTTTATAATATTGTCTCTTTATTAAAATCAAATTAGCTTAATCTGATTTAAATAAAAAATATATTAAATAATATAAATCCACATTTCAATTATTGAAAGAAATTGAACAATTTAAAAGTATATGTTGATCAATATGAACAGAAAAATTGAATTTTTAAGGAACATGCTAATTAAAGTGCAATCATCGATTAGTTTCAGCATCAATGCACAACAAGTTTAGGATGCAATTGGATAATTGACTCAAACCTCAGGGTGGTGGTTTATAGTCAACCCTACCTTTGCATGTCCACTTCAACTCCAGTGGAGCTTAGAGGGTCAACAATCTTTCCCCTTTTTTTTTCTTTTTTTGGTTTGACAATGGTCAACAATCATTCAGTGTTTGGTTTCAATAACAGTAAATTGTTCTGGAATTAGGTGAAGACTACAGCTCGAATTGTGGAGGGGGATGCAGGTAAGGTTATTTGCAAGGAAGCAGAAAGATTGAAGCCAGCAGCAGTGGTTATGGGAACCCGTGGCCGAAGCTTAATACAAAGGTTTGCTTTCCCCTTTCCTACATGCTACATCTTTCTATGTGGATGCTTGTGCTTGTGTTACTTTGCCATTCTACAAAATAACCCCCCTCGTTTCCTTGCTCATCTCTCTTCATATTTATACTACTTTTAATTTGCAGTGTACTTCAGGGAAGTGTGAGCGAGTATTGCTTCCACAATTGTAAATCTGCTCCTGTCATAATCGTTCCTGGGAAAGGTACTACTGTTTCTCTAATTGATAGAATCCTTCCATATTATTTCGTTTACTTTATCCATTGGAATGATTCACACAGTTTTCTGTTTTTTCCTTAACTTGGCAGAAGCTGGAGATGAATCACTGATATAGTGGAATCAGCAAACGTGAAAAACTAATACTCATCAGATTTGTGTGTTAAAAGCTGATAGTCATCAGATTTGTTTGTTTGTGTGTGATGGTCCTGTATAATTTTACCATACAATTTGTTGCGTGTAATTTATTGTTTCTTATCTGATTAGCTTGATTAGCTGAAATCCTAATGTATGTGAATGACTTGATTCGAAATGAACTTGATGCATGTAATATTTTCTTCTATAATTGCTGGATTTTGGTCATCCTAAAAGACAGCATGAAAGTGTGTAGCAGAAGTGCTATCTAAACAAGCAAAGAGGCAGTTCATAGCTGTAGATGTGATCCTTTCAGAATCCACAAGACAAGCATGATTTTTTCCATGGGTAGCCAATTTTTGGATGCAACGGAGTTGCGGTCTTAACAAATCAATGGATGCTAAGCTGCTGCTTTGCTACAATGTCTGTGATTAGTCCAAATTTTTATCTGTGAGTAGTCTAGCTCTCAGAAATCAGTTCCATAATCCACTGATGGGGTGAGAATTCCTTTATACAAGTTTCCAATGTCAAAACTTCTCTATCCGCATCCCTCAGTATGTGGGACTAGTTTTCACCCCAAACTTTCCTTCCTCCACTGTACAGAAAATTGATCTTTCTGCAATGGAGACCTAAATCATCGTCGTTTACCCATCTGATGGGTCCAATAGATCTTTGAAGTTCATTTTAAGTATTCATTTCACCGGGCCTTGTATTGGTGTTGCGTGAAAAGCCCTTGAATGACTTTACTGGGCCTCTACCAACCCAGGTGCAAACGGGCGAACTACCCGGGAATGTCTGAAACTGCAGCTCTCTTCTCCGGTTTAAGCAGCTTCAATATGATTTACAGAAACATCACTTTCACAAGAGCTTCAATTATATATGAAACTTGTCTGGACTGAGGCTTTAATTATTTTATATAGGTCCCAGACTTTGAGCAACTTATTGTGAACACAATTTGTGGTTTGGTGTGTCTTGGTCCTACCATTAATATTCCATTAAAAAAAATCAGCATAGAAAATGAATATTTTCATTTGAACTGGCCTGGTTCCTGTTTTTATACCAATTACTATATTCTAGTATTCAAGTATGTAAGCCTGTCTATAGCATCCTGGCAGGAAGTGGAGTAATGGTTGCTGGCTGTTTCTCAGGATTCTTGCTCAAGGTCAAGACACACGCACTGGGCTTTTACATGCTCCAAACGAATTCTAATGTATTGTACTGAAGTACCCACATACCCAAGAGAATCTTTGTGGGATTTTTGCCCTTTTGTTCCTTGGAATTGCGGTTTGTGAAAGGTAGAGGGAGAAACTTGAACGGTTTAGAAAAGAGAGAGAAAAAAAAAATCACAGAAACGAAATGGGCCCAAGAAAGGGAAAAGGCAATATCATCTTTCACCATCAACACAAAACAAAGAGAATCAAAGAGATCTTGCCTGTGGATGAGGCCAGGTCCACTCCTTTCACTATTACTTATGGCTTGAAAATGAAGGAAAGCCGAGGCTCTTGTGACTCCAAGAACAAGTAAATGCAATGAAGGTGCAGGCAACCTTCAGTGGTCCCTGCCAGAGCCGCAACCTACACTGAAAAGCCCCTTTCTTCCCCATTAAAACACTAGTAGTTTTTCGACTTTCGAGTATCGGTTAAAAACTATCCGCAGATAGAAACATTTCCTAGTCGTTCAGCTTTTGCCTTGTAGGAAATTCAGGTCCATAATTTTAGAATTATGACTAATCTGAAATCAAGTTACATCCTATGGCAAAAGAGTAATTTAAAATTGGATCACAACCTCCCAAGTCACCAGTAGCCAACGACAACCTAACAGGAAAATTGCAGCCAATTTTTGGCCGTGGTGTGAACACAGGACTGTCCTTATTCCCTGCCCAGCTAGTGTTGTAGAACCAAAACCAAGAAGCGCCCAAGGAAATAGCATACAGATAATGAGTCCTTGGAAATAATCTGGAAAACAGGGAGCTCTGGGAGTTTAGATTCTTTTCGCCATGTTGACAAGTTCCTCCACCCACACGGGCAGTTAATGCACCTCTACAGTTGTATAACATTCTTGTCCAGATTTATCCATGTTGATATCAGATGCATCAAACTTTAGTTTCAATCCTTTTGAGGTTATGCACTGTTTTAGTAAAGCCGGTATAGCTTTGGTAATCATAGGTACATCGTCACTTTTATGTTAAATAATAGACAAATGCAAATATCCATCCACGGCAAAACTATAAAACAAATGCTAAAGTTATATAAATTAAGTATTTCCTTTAATAACTCCACCAGCAAGCATCCTTATTTATCAATGTTCATAAAGGCCAAACCGTACACGTCTTAATTAATGAGAGCAGGTACGTTGACTAGAAAAGACCCAGTTCTCTTCTCCAGTTTCCATCTGGCTCTTACATGCATGGAAGTAAAAAATCATGTTGAATCTGGGAATAGTTGGATTATTCTCTCCCTGTATTGCAGTTAACACCAGAGTTCCTGCATCCAAGCATTACATACAATTTGTAGTTGACAGATTCCTTACGTCTTCTCAGGATGAATCAGAGAGAATAATCTATGTGGAATGATTCAAGACTGATTCAATTTTCTCTAAAAAAAGAAGGTAATATTCGATATAATTTGGAGTCCTGGAAACCATTCCAAGGAACTGAATTAACTAAGGAATGGTTGCCCTTTCACTGACATCCCTCTGCGTGTCTGTGCTACCAATTATCGCTCCTTATTCCTCATTATATGGTTTAATTATCAGTGTCTCAATCAAAATTTTATTATTCTGTCTCAAAAGGGAGCCGAAGATGGTCCACTGGTAGGTTCCATGTCCTATGTCCATGCTGGAGTGCTTCAAGTTGTCACTCAGGTTCATCCAACAGAGGAACAGCTTGTGCCACTGGATTAGTCTATGCATTCCCTCAACATTACAAAATTTTTTGTGGTGCTTCTTGCACACTTTCGTTTATGCAGTTATTGAACTAGATGTCTTTGACCGCTAGAAAGTGGGGCAGTGAATGTGCAGATAAATGTGTGATTGTTTCAATGAGGTAAATTGGAAAGACTGATCTTTCCTTGCATTTATCCATATCAACCTCCTTTACCCCACCTGTTCTTGGGCTATGTTGACACCCCAAATTTTTGGTCCCCTCCTCCATCCCATCAACCTTTCATTGCAATTGGAATCGATTATGTTGTGATTATAAATATAAAATTTGAACAAGAGAGAAAGTTTGAAGTTAATTAGTATTGCTTTTATTCATACTATTTTCCAGTGTACATACAAATATATATATATACCAAATGTAGTTAAAGAAGGAAAAAAGAATCAGGATCAAAGACATCTGGAATTAACTCAATCGTCAATAAATCAGGACTGACATTCTGATTCACATCTCCATCTTTAGATTGCTAGCTTCAATGGAACCTGCATAGATCAAATTAAGCACAGTTAGATTCAATATGTAAGATCAGCAAAGGTATTACACTTCTGGTGATAGAAAAATGACAGCAGCCGCCCTGAAATTGTCGAAGGACAGATATAACAAGAGGACCTACTCCAACTTTTCGTGGTTGCCAGTTCAATCCTTATAAGCATTCAACAGCAAAAATGGGAATACACAGTCCTATGGTTTCTCCTTTGTCTAAGACAATTAAAGGAGCCGTCGTTTTTTCGTTAAAGATGATTTGATAGTTCTAATTGTAGGTTTAGCTTAACTAAGGGCCCCAGTTTTGCTTTTCAAGTCTTTGGGGTACAGTGTATGCACATTAGTAGGTCAAAATGTTGCTTACTCTATCTAAAAGAATAATCCAAGGGAACATAGTGCTCATTGAACAAAAATCTATGGTTGTGATCATTGTAGAGAGAAAATGATAGAAAGCTTCCTTTAAAGTAACTTTCTTCATTTAAATCATATATAGGACACCGCTCTTCCTTTGCAAATTCATTTAACAACTGTGGGGTTCTCATATGTCTCTATCAGCAGTAGTTAAACCCACTTTGCTTCATGTTTCTGGCTTGAAAAATAATCAAAACAAGAAAGAGAACATTAACAAAGACGTGTTAGCTTTATGTACCTGTGAATGGCTGAGACGGAAATGATGTTGATCGTCCTTGGTCAAATGCCACATTGTAAAGATTTTGCAATTCAACATCCCATGTTGCAGAGGGTTGAATTTGCTGCATTGCAATGCGTGATCTATAGTGAGAAACATAGTGAATACTGTAGAAGAGAGGGTAAAGCGCAAGAGTGAAAAGGAGCAGAGAAAATTACGGGGAAACAGGATGAGTCGAGAAATGATGCATCAGGGATTGATACAGGGGCACTGATGGTTCTTCGAAGTGCCATATCAGGAGTGTTCATTCCCATTTCCAACCCGCAACAAGAAACTACATGTTGTACCGGATTGAACTGAAGATGAGGAGGGTTAGCCATTTCTGATGACATCCCAACCGTTGGAAAATTAGTCGTACAAGAGGGAAACACCTGTTGGGGAAAAAACAGTTCCAGCATTAGTAATAGTAACAGAAAAGGTCAAAAAAGAAAAAGGTCGTTCTGCAAAATATCTGATTTATTATCTAACGAATTTCGCCTTACCTCTTTGGCAAAAAGATTTTCAATGTTGAAGTCAAGCCTTGGATATACAGCAGCTAGTTTCATAGAAAGGAACTGCGGATTATAAGCATAGAAGACACAATTAAGATTGTGGGTGTACATATATATTGAGAAAATGAAGAACTTTCAGGTCTTTTTTACCTCTACTTGCCGTTGAAGAGATTGGACATAATTGATTATTTCATCAAGCATTCCTGCTTTTCCTGTGATTTTGTTGCACCCCGGAACTAAATCTTGCAGATACTTCATTCTTTCACTGATTTTTTCCCTTCTCACCTACATAATAAAAACATAAATCAAACAAATTAAACATGATTCTGTGATGGAAGTGACCTGATAAATCAGAACACACTTTGAGCACGGCCTCAGAAAGTTGCTAAAGAATGGAAAAATATACATATTCCTACTCACTCTCTCAGCTAAGCTGTGGCTATCAGTGGCTTGGCCACGACGTGCCCGGACGTGGATATAATCAGGCTTTTGAACCTCAGAAACCTTCGAATTCTCCTTGGAAGTATCAGTCGATGATTCCTTCTTATTGTTATTGTTGTTGCTGCTGCTTTTGTTGGTATTTGGCCCTGTAATTTTTGACTCTTCCTCTTCTGCACACGCCTTTATCCTCTTGGAGCCATCTTCCGCAACAACCTAGACATGTTCAAAAGAGAAACTCCTCTCAATAATCTCAGCGAAACCTACCCAAACACGCTTCGAAATTATGCTCTTGGTTTCTTGTTAAAAATTGGTTCTTAGACAGAAGACACGAACTCAAAACAGAGAGCAACCAAGAACCGTAAATTTACATTTTGTTCATAAAAAAGAACTCTATGATAAAGGAAAGAAATCCCCCACAAGAAGAGTAGAGAACATATCTAGCTAGTTTGGGCCTCCGGGAAAACGATAAAGAATAGTTTTAATAATAATAGAGTAATAAATAAAGAAAAGACACGACACAGACCTTTACGTTTTGCAACTTATCAACTTTCCTCTTCTTGAAGCTTTCTCTTCCGACGGCTGAACCCATCTTCTCAGAGACAACTAACTCCTTACCCTTGACCTCCACCACCTCCCCTGCTACAGCCGCCGCCACAGCTGGCGAGCAGCTAGAAGTCCTTGAAATGGCGTAATTCATATCAAAACTCGGCCCATTACCGTACCCACATGGCCCAAACCCCATGCCAGGTATGTCAACCTTCACCAACTCAGGCCAGGCAGTCTCCAAACCAGGGTCAGGCTTCAGTTGCCGAGTCATCACCATGTCACCTAGCACCGAATCACCGCTCATCAAACCACTCTGAAAGCCTTCTACATGGCTGGCTTGGCTCGAAAACACCCCACTTAACTCACTGAAATAACTTTGCTGTTGTTCTTGTTGTTGTAGTTGTTGTTGCTGAAGCTGTTCCTGTTGCCATTTCAAGCGAGCCCTTTGTCTCTCGAGCGCTGTCATGTCCGAACATTGTAACATCTCTGGCAATGCTCTATTCATGTTAACCCTCAAAATTAAAAGAGCAAAAAAAAAATCCCAAAACCAAAACACACTAAGTAGGAAATAGTAAGTAAGAAAAAGGCTGGTTGTAACAGGAAGGACAATAGCCAATAGGGAAACAAAAGTGTTGGGGAGGAAGAAGATCAGGCAGGTTTGCTATATGAGTTCATGCCTAACACGAGTTCATTGTGAGGATAGTACCATATATCATTACTAGGTGATGTGCTCTTATAGTTTTTTTTTTTTTTTTTTTGTATGGAATTTTGGCACTTTTGAGGAAGAAAGAAAGATAGAAAAAGAAAAAAGAGATTTTAATGGCAAAGAGGAGAGGGAGAGTGGGGTATATATAAAGGGAAATAAAGGTGACCGGAATATGACACTATTAGGAACCAAAGAATTATTAAGAGAGAGATTTTCCTTTTTCCTCTCTTTTTTCTCAAATTTTATACAAGATACAATTCCAGTACATATTTATTAATTTAATTTAATTTTATATAGTTATTTGGTTAAACTTTTAATATATATTGGATTTTAATTACTCTTTTCTAAAAGTAAGTTCATAAGTATAAATTCTCAAGATATGCTAATGCTTTGATATAATGTAGTCTCACAAAGCAGACAGAGTAGAAATTTCCGGGAGATTCTAAACCCTTGGATAACTAATAAACTTTGGCACTTGGTTTTAACACACGTGTTAATCTATTGGAGATTAAAATAGTAAAATAAAATAAGAACATAATAGTTAAAATAATTTTTGAATTATTTTAAAAATTTTAAATAAATTTTAAATCTTTTATTATGTTAGATCAAGTTTTTATATTTTTATTTTTAAACCAAATAAATACTTATAAATAATTATCAATTAATCATTTTTAATTTAAAATAATATTTATTTTTTTATATTACGTGATATTAACATATTATATTAGAGAATGACGTGTTAATATAAGAATATAATCATATAATATTTTTTATTATGTTAATGTTATATGAGTATAAAATAATATATATGTTATTCTGATAAATGATAATTAATCAATTGTTAATTATAAGATTCTATTTGATCAAAATTAAAAATATAAGACTTAATTAAATTTAATAAAAAATAAAAAATTATTTAAATTTATTAAAATAATTTAAAAATTTTTAAAATATTATATTTAAAATATTTAATAAATAAATTATTACATGTTGTAATGACTGTTAGGAAACTATCAAATTAAACTCCAATGACAGATCCATGTTATTGTCAATAGGTATGATTCATAAAAGATCATATCTACTAAAAAATTCACAATTTGACATGGACACATTTTTAGAGAATAAAATCTAAAATCAAATATTTAAAAATTTAAAGTTATTAGTCCACATATCATGGATAATTCTACTATAGTTCAAGTTCTTCTGTTGCCATAACAACAAATGCATCTGAAATTTATGGACTGCATGTGGAATTTAGGATTGTGAGTGTGGCATAAACAAAATATAATAAAATAAATTAAAAAAATGGAATTAGTAAATGCAAAAAAAAAAGAAAAATCATCAATATCTTGGCTGGAGTTAGGGAGCAGAGCGAGAGAGAGAGAGAAGAAAAATGGGGCAGAGAGCCATCCAATGTATCCATAACCAGAGGCCTTGGGTTGTGGGGACCACTGACATGACCGCCACGTGGGCTTGTCCGGTGCACGGAAAAACGGCTTATTTTCCTTTTTCTTTTTTGACCTTTCCTCTCTTTTCCTTTTCTTGTAAGAGGAACCGGAGAGAAGAGAAAAGGGTAGGGAAAGAAAGAGAGCTCCGTTTTATATCAAAAGTGTCAAGGTCTTCTTCAGCTACTCCATCTTATTCATTTGTTATATTGTTAGGGGTATACGCTATGATCCTCTTCTCAAACATTGTTAGCTTATATTTCGAGAAATAATTAAGGGCAGAAATAATGATACTATGTGTAAATATTATAATTATATTTAAATCCATACATTTAAAATTTTAAAATTTTATCTCCTAATTATTATAATTGAATTTTTTTCTTAATTATCATTATGATTTGATATCCCAATATGTATTTATTGACGTTTCTATAATTAACATGGATTGTGAAATCTAATCAAAGGTTTTAGTGACTAAAGTTGGTCAACTTTATAATCAAATGGAGATCACGTGAGGTGTTGATTTGTAGTGGATGTGCTTTCAGAACCAAAATTGGTTGTTAGTACTTTTGATGTCACAATTCCATCCGTGACAAGAGAGTGTTTTTGAGTATGTGTTGACATCTCAAATGCTTTTACCATTGAGTTCATGTTAAAGGAATGAGTTCCCATGAATTCTAGAATCTAATGATTCCATGTTTGTAAATATTTAACAATAACCTAAATATGCTTCAACTCTGTGGCATATCTTCTCAATTGAAATATTGCATAAGAAACTTCACTTGACCATACAAAATCTTTTAAATGATTATTCTTTAAATTGGGAAGGGAATTCTACAAATAATGTCCCTTCGTTAAAAATAAAAAAAAATTAAAAATATTTATTTTGTGTATGTATAAAATGATATTTTATAATTAAATAATAACGTAAAAGTTTATACATTAGGATATATCAAATATAAACTTTATATATTATATATTTTTGTGGTGGATATCATTTACTCTATGATTTGGTACTATCATCCCATAAATATCTAAGAGTTTTAAATTTATAGTGCACAGGAACTCAAAGAAAAAAGGATCATCTCCAAAGTGTTGTGTCTCTGGGCTTCTGGGCCCTCAAAGGGGCGCGATAGGCTCGCCGTTTGTTACGTCTGCACCCACATGGGTACGAACACGTGGTAGCTACCTGAGCTCTTGATCCGGCATGTCAAAGTGCTGACGTGGTCAAACGGGGTTCTGTTCTTTCGATTGGGTACTTTGGCTACCTGGGAAGTTGCAATAGATTACAGCGGACAGCTCTCGGGGACTTCTTCTTTCAATCCAACTATCTACGCGTGCAGAGCACGACTTTTAGGCACTGTTGGTTGTGGAAGACGAGCGTAAAAAGCGCGTGGAAACTAATCATAAATTTGCCTGAGATTCTATTAGGGGACCCTGCTAAATAATTTTGTTTCTTTGTCTTTACTCTTCTCATTAAAGAATGCTTAATAACCAACTTAGTAATTAATGTTCTGAAATTAGCAAGCAAATGCCAAGTAGGAAGGAAGTCAAATTAATTCTAATTTTTTTGCAGTAAAGTTTGACGCAATTCGTTTCGGCACTGTTCACGACAAAAAACGATGAAATTTCATGAGGTGGTTGGATGTGGGTTTGGTTTTAACAGCAGGAATAGAACATGACTCGTTCATGTCTTGTCGTTAAAAGGGCTATGGAGTCTTCGTCATTAACTTGTCTATTACTTTGAAATATTAGAGCTCCCCTCGACTTAAGTTTATACTAAGAAAGTGATTGAACGAATGAGAAAATTTTTGGATGGCAAAAAGGTGGAGTCCAAGCGACACCAAGATCTTTGGTTGGACAAGTGACAATGATTTTTAATTGCTGCCGTATTAATAGATGAGTATGTCTTTAGTTATTTGTCATCCACTACTTCACCTAATTATTAATCATTAATCGTCTTAATCTCATTCTTTTCACGATCACCATCAATAATGTTTAGTTACATCGTAAAATGTCAAATAAATCAAAACTCATCATATGATATGACTTGATCATGCACTTGGCCAATGGTTTTTTTGAAATTTTTCATTTTTTAGTAAATATTTAGAATTATTTAAATTACATACAAATAAAACTGTATGATAAAACTTGATCATGCACTTATCCACCAATTATCACACCCATATAATATCTATCAGTTTCCTTAAAATGTCAAAATTCTTTTTTCCTCTTTTCGTAAAAGTTCAAAATTAAACTTGATCATCATATATCCACCATTAATGTATCAATAAAAGTCACACCACACCGCACATGATTTTAACGTGTATACTTGGAATTTAACAGCTTACAGTCATAATCAAAGCTTTAGGTAGCTGCATATTGATTTATGCAGCCATTTGAAGCTTTGAAGCAATATTGGAAGGTAAGGGGTAGTAGTAGATATACTTTGGACTGGTGGGAACAAGTCCAGAGAGGATGAAGGCTACTTCCATTATCACTCAAACTGGGCCCTCTTCACCTCTCCCCATCTCCCTCCACTTTATTAGTAGTAAGTCTCTCTCTCTCTCTCTCTCAAGTTGCATGCACTTACACATGACCCTATGCCACAACAAAGGGCAAATGGGGCCTCTCCTTCTCTATCTCATTGCTTCCATCACTTTCTCTCTGGTCTTCGTCAACAGAAAACTACCCTTTATAGCCCTTCAATTTCTTTTTTTTTTTTGGGCTATGACTCTTTCTCTTCATCATACAGCTCCTTTTCTCTTTATATATATTTTGGATTAACTGAATCTCCCCAGCGCTCTATGAACAGTGCTTGTTAATTTTTATCTCTAATGCTTTCCTTTTGGGCAGACTCAAGACTGCATTAATTTAATTATCATCACATTCCCTTTCTCGATATAAGATTTATTCAAAGTCTTCTAGGTAATTTTTTTCCTCCTGGTGTTTTGACTGTTTTCCATTTGCATCCTAACTCTTTTTTGGTTCTAATTATTAATAAAAATAAAATAAAAAATGTCACATAACTTTGTACTTGCGCTTTAAATATTATTCGTTTTTATTAATTTCTGATCATGGTGACCATACTGGGACCTTACTTAGATACAGTAGTATATTAATATGTACTATATTGTAGTAAAAAAAAGGAGGAGGACATTATGCAAGGAGAGACGATGAGGCTGAGTGGTTGAAGATGATTTCCACAAGACTGAATAAGACATTGTAAGAAACTGCATTGTTGCTCTGTGAAACGTCATTGTGCCAGTGTGGTCCAATCAGATTCAATGGCGAACAAAAATTTGAGCTTTATGGCTAAGGTAGCGATATACGATCCCTACTCATCATCAATATATATATAAAATTTAATGCTCTAACATATATGTGCCAGGAACGCGAAAACGAGGTGTCACTATTCCAACACGGCCTTTCATGGTGTGAATGTCTAATTTCCCAAGCAAAGTTTTATTGCCAAATCCAAATCCATACCATAGTTGGTATCGTCCCATCTTATCTTTCCTGGATAAACCCAAAAATAATAATAATAGAGGGCAGAGACATGGGTTATAAGAAGGAGGCAATGAAATATTGCAGCAGATCCGATGTAAAGGGCATCCTAGTTCTTGCAGGCCCTCTCTATTATAAAGGATTTTGAGAGAGAGAGAGAGAGATCAAT